CTTATAAAAAATTCCAGCAAAGCACATTTAAAAGAGCCTATGTAATCAGTTGCTCTTCTTTCTGCCCTTATGCAAATAATCAAGTCAAGTGTTAATTATTTTCTTAATCTGGTTACTTCTAATAAAAATGAGGGTGATTTTAGAGAAAAATATTGTTTCAGTAATGCAGCCTTATCTATACTAAACCCTAATACTAGTCATCTAGTCATTGGGACATAAACTAGATCCAGAATTCTAGTTTATTCAAAATATTTGGGTATGATTCTCCATATGTTTTAGTTTTCTCAAATCATTTCAATAAAAGTTTTACTATTTCTATTCCTCATATTCACCCATGCATTCTTAATCTTGTCAAGTTGATCCAAAATAGAAAATCCAACTCCACATGTTACTACTTAACCTAATAACACAATTTGTTCTATCTTGCCTAGAAGCCATAGAACTGCAAATAGTAATAGAAATGGAACCCGGAATAGAAGTGCCCATCTTCCAAGGCCCTCTCAACTGACCAGTGATGGAGACCTAACTGCACCCCTTACTGACCCCCTTTCAGCGCAAAGCAGGCACAGCAGTCGTTGCCCCCTTTCCCTAGCAGTAGCTAGGGTTTCCATCTGTAGAGGGGGGAATGAGACGGGAACCGTAGGTGTAGTCAGAGTAGGGTGAGGACCTCCGGAAAAAGCAAAGCAGGATAGTTACAGTCAAAGCAATGTAACAATGTAAAGAAGTCCCTATGAAACTGGGTTAAGCATTATGCAAAGTCAAGATCACACTAATTCTCTAGGGTAAAAATACCAGACTAGGAATATAGATGTCTTCAGTGAGATTAGTTAAAAGTCAAAAGACCAGGAGCAACTTGGCCTGGAATGTTTGAGATACCACAAGGGTATCTCAGCATAACCTGTGACTTCACTGTAAAAGGCTCTAGCAAACAGACAATAACCCAGCCCACCTTGAGGGCAGGGCAGGTGGTACACACCCCTAAGCCTTTTTTCCCCCAAATCCTCAACTGCCTATAAATCCCCTGGACAATGCACCACCCTGGGCTCTCTTGTCCCCTCCTAGTGTGAGCCAGGAGCTCTTTCCTCTCACTTTATTTCTAAATACTCTGGCTCTCCTAAAAAAAAAAAAATAGTACTGACTGACTGAAATTACACTGACTTGAAAAATTAACAAAGAGTACTACTGGACCTTGGTAAACAGGCTAGGACAGCACATACATAGCAGAAATCATTTCCCAAAGGTGATAACTGAAACCCAAGACAAGAAGTTCTCTAATGAAGAAGAGAAAGGAACAGACTGTATAGTCGTGGGTACTATAAAGTTATCAAAATGGGCACATTGGAAGAACACCAAGATGGCGACGTGAGTAGAGCAATGGAAATCTCCTCCCAAAACCATATATATTTTTGAAAATACAACAAATACAACTATTCCTAAAAGAGAGACGAGAAGATACAGGACAACAGCGAGACTACATCTACACCTGCGAGAACCCAGTGCATTGTGAAGGGGGTAAGATACAAGCCGTGGCCCGGCGGGACCCGAGCGCCCCTCACCCCAGCTCCTGGCGGGAGGAGAGGAGTCGGAGCAGGGAGGGAGAGGGAGCCCAGGACTGCTAAACACCCAGCCCTAGCCATCTGCACCAGAGCACAGACACACAGTGTGTGAGGTGCTGGATACTAGGCAAACAGGACACTAAGACCTATAAGCAGGTCCCCGCAGCAAGCGCCCCTGGGACAAAGAAAAGCGAGTGCTTTCTGAAAGTCTTGAAGGGACAGGGACCCCACAGCTGGATGGAAGCATCCCAGGACCCTTAGCCATCTGGGAATCCCAGGGAACTCTGGGCACCCTAACCCTCTGGGCGGCAGTGCAGTTTGGAGGCCCCTCACAGTGATAAACAGCCTCCTGCCCGTTTCCCCTCCAACATGGCT